CGGGATCGAACCAGGGACCTTTAGATCTTCAGTCTAACGCTCTCCCAACTGAGCTATTTCGGCTGCACGGGGGCGCTCCGCCCCCCCCGCCCGTCACCGCCGGTGGCGCCGCTCGGGGCGGGGGGACACGGAGGGGGACAGAGGGGACAGAGGGGCGGACGTGGGGCCCGGGACACGGGACAGGCGGGACACGGGGGCGGGACGGGCGGGACGGGGGACACGGGACCGGGACCGGGCCAGGCGGGACACGGGGCGGGCGGGAGGCGGCGGCAGCGCGGTCTCTGTGGCGCAATCGGTTAGCGCGTTCGGCTGTTAACCGAAAGGTTGGTGGTTCGAGCCCACCCAGGGACGGCCGCTCTTTATTTTCCTGCGCGACCGCGGCTTCGCAGCCCCGGGACGGGCTCTTAACCGCCGAGTCCAGTGGCGGTTCCGGGACGGCTCGGCCCGCCAGGGGTTGTTTTGGGGTCATTTTGGGATCTTTTGGGGTCGTTTTGCCGCGGCCGGCGGAGCGGAGGGTGCCTCCGGAACCGCCGGCCCGGGAGGCGTTTCCCGCCGGAGCGCTGCGGCGGCGGCGCGCGGGGCGCTTTAGCGGGCGCACCGCGCGCAGAGGTTGCCTGAAGGGCTGCGAGCGATGGCGGCGCTGGGCCGTGAGCGGGGCCGGGCCGGGGCGGGCCGGGACGGGGCGGGACGGGCACCGCGGCCGGGCTGGGGGCACCGGAACAACCCCCCCTGAGGGAGTGACGCGGGGGGAGCCCTGCGGGGACACCGGGCAGCCGCGCTGAGCTCTCCCGTCCTCTCTTGCAGGTCTGCGGCTCCCCGCGCACGGCGTGCTGGGCTGGCGGTGAGCGCCGGGCTGGGGGCGCCGGGGCGGTGGGACCCCGGGGGCACGGCTGGGGGGGCCGGGCCGGTGACAGCGCTGACCCCGGGGCTGGGGGGACCCAGGGCCGCGGCTGAAGGGCACCCCGGGCTCTGGGGGGGCTCTGGGGGCCAGGGGGGCTCTGGGGGTCAGGGTGCCTCTGGGGGCCAGGGGGGCTCCTTCCCCGCTGGGCTTGCAGGAGCACCGGCTGCCGCGCGGGCTCTGTCACCCTGTCACCCTTGCTGTCCCCAGGCCCGGCTCCGTGAGTGCCGTGCCCGCTCAGCTGCTCCATCAGACGGCGGCCGATGGCGCTGACAGGTGACAGCTCCTGCCCCGGGACAGGGCACGGCCGCTTGTGCGGGGGGTCCCAGTGGCACCTCCTGTGAGGGGGCTCCTCCCTTCCCTGCTGGAATCCGAGGAGCTCTGGGAGCCCCGGGAGAGGCAGCCAGGGGCTCTCCGTGCCTGGGGTGCAGCTCAGGGGCTCTGCCCCAGCACCCAAGGCACAGACCCACACTGGGGACAATCCTCTGTCACAAACAGAGGGGTGGCATTGTCCTTCCTCAGGGAGGCACAGCCCCCTGCAGGGCTAAACGCTGATTCTGCAGGGAAATCTCTGGAGAGTGATGGCTCTGTGCTGCTGCTTTCAGCTCTGTGCAGGTGCAGAAGAGCTCTGCTGTTGTCCAGAGGAAATCCTACCTCCCCAGCAGCCGCGGCGAGTACGTCATCACCAAGCTGGATGACCTGGTCAACTGGGCACGGCGGGTGAGTCCCGGGCCACCCTGGCACGGGGGACAGGGTGGCACATCAGGGGCACCTCCTGCTCAGGGTAAAAATGGGCTCAGAGCTCCTGTGGGCAGAGGGTGACACTGGGGTGCAGGGACAGTCTGGGGTGTGGGGGGTCTGGAAGTGCCCGTTGGTCACCAGGAAAAGGCACTGCTGGAGCTGTCCCTGCCCTGAGCAGCTGCTCTGCCTGCGGGGAAGGGTGACACAGGTGACAGTGCCCTGGGTCTGCTGTGCTGTGCCCCGTGGGGCTCTGAGCTGTCCCTGAGCTGGGACATTACTGTCCCCGTGGGGCTTTGAGCAGGGACACCACTGTCCCCATGGGGCTCTCAGCTGTCCCTGCTGTCCCTGGGTGGCTCTGAGCTGTCCCTGCTGTCCCCGTGGGGCTCTGAGCTGTCCCTGCTGTCCCCGGTGGCTTCGAGGCTGTCCCTGGTGGCCCTGGTGGCTCTGAGCTGTCCCTGCTGTCCCCGTGGGGCTCTGAGCTGTCCCTGCTGTCCCCGTGGGGCTCTGAGCTGTCCCTGCTGTCCCTGGGTGGCTCTGAGCTGTCCCTGCTGTCCCTGGGTGGCTCTGAGCTGTCTCTGCTGTCCCTGGGTGGCTCTGGGGTGGCTCTGAGCTGTCCCTGCTGTCCCTGGGTGGCTCTGAGGTGGCTCTGAGCTGTCCCTGCTGTCCCTGTGGGGCTCTGAGGTGCCCTTAGGCTGCACACAGAGCTCTCCCCGTATCCATCCCCGGTGCCTTGAGCTGTCCCCCTGTGCGTGCCACCCGCGCTGTCCCTGAGCTGCTGGCTGTCCCCACAGAGCTCCCTGTGGCCCATGACCTTCGGGCTGGCGTGCTGTGCCGTGGAGATGATGCACATGGCAGCCCCCCGCTACGACATGGATCGCTTCGGGGTCGTGTTCCGCGCCAGCCCGCGCCAGGCCGACGTCATGATCGTGGCAGGGACCCTGACCAACAAAATGGCCCCGGCGCTGCGCAAGGTACGGGGGGCACGGGGGGCACGGGGGGCACGGGGAGCTGGGCAGCACCCCACACATCCCTGTCCTGCAGGTCTATGACCAGATGCCAGAGCCTCGCTACGTGGTGTCCATGGGGAGGTGAGTGCCAAGATGTCCTCGGGGTCCTGGGGGGAGTTCTTGGCTTGTTTGTGTTTCCAAATTCTTAAAAAGCTTTGTAGAGCAGAGCCCAAAGGCTGCCCAAAGGGAATGGTGGGTGTGAATCCTCCCAGGGATGGGTTCAGGGGCTTTGCAGCTGCCAAACTCCAGAATCCAAGAGTTTGCTTTTGGCTTTCAAAATGCTTCTGCTGTGCTGGAATCTGCTCTGTGGGGGACTCAGTCAGGGATCTGCTCCCTGAGGGATCAGTTGGGATCTGCTCTATGAGGGATTCAGTTGGGATCTGCTCCATGAAGGATTCAGTTGGAATCTGCTCCCTGAGGGATTCAGTTGGGATCTGCTCTATGAGGGATTCAGTTGGGATCTGCTCCCTGAGGGATTCAGTTGGGATCTGCTCCCTGAGGGATTCAGTTGGGATCTGCTCCCTGAGGGATCAGTTGGAATCTGCTCTATGAGGGATTCAGTTCGGATCTATTCCATGAAGGATTCAGTTGGGATCTGTTCCATGAAGGATTCAGTTGGAATCTCCTCTATGAGAGACTCACCTGGGATCTGTTCCATGAAGGATTCAGTTGGAATCTCCTCTATGAGAGACTCACCTGGGATCTGTTCCATGAAGGATTCAGTTGGAATCTCCTCTATGAGAGACTCAGCTGGGATCTGTTCCATGAAGGACTCAGTTGGAATCTGCTCCATGGGGGGACTCAGTTGGACTCCGTGGTCTCAGAGTTCTTTTCCAACCTGAATGATTCCATGATTCTCAAAGTTTTCTTGTCCTCACTGGCTGAGGGTGGCAGGTCCAGGCTGGAACAGGACAAATTCTGGCAAAGCTCTGAGGCAAAACAGAAGGGTTTGTAGCAGAGAGGGAGGGCTGTGGACCCTGCTTTGTGAGGGTGATGGGAACAGTTCAGCTGGGCTGGATTCACCTGAAACCCTCCCAGGCAGGGCTCGTGGTGGGGCAGTGCCACCTGTGGAGCTGGAGGCTCCGAGCCTGGCAGTGCCCACCTGCCCAGGGCCACCTTCCCTTGGCCTGCTGCTCACCTTCCTGGCCTGACCCTGTCCCTGTCCTGCAGCTGTGCCAACGGTGGGGGCTACTACCACTACTCCTACTCCGTGGTGAGGGGCTGCGACCGCATCGTGCCCGTGGACATTTATGTGCCAGGTAAAGGGGCAGCTCACCTGGCAGCAGGGCAGGGAGAGGGGAATTCTCTGCATGCAGGTGTGGGTTTGAAAGGTTTTCCTGTTTCAGTGGTGGGGAAACTGCAGCAGCTCCAGGGATTGTGGGATGGGGAGGGTTGTGATGGTGGTGGCACCGTCAGTGGGGTGGGAGGGGGGTTTGGATACACTTTGAAATTAAATAATTGCTGTGTTTGATAAAGATCTTCTTCATAAACAGCATCAATTCAGTTTCTTTGCACTCCTGCCTGTGCCAGCCACAAAGCCAGAGGGGAGTGAGCTTTGGGATAAGTCCTGGGGTTGGCACTTGTTGCAGGTTCCTGCCCTGTGACCTTCCCCCCTTCCTCCCTTCTCTCCCAGGTTGCCCACCCACAGCTGAGGCTCTGCTCTACGGGATCCTGCAGCTGCAGAGGAAGATCAAGCGGGAGAGGAGGATGCAGATCTGGTACAGGAAATAGCCTTTATTTATGTCCCCACTCACTGTCCCGGGCACTGCTCACAGCTACGCACAAATCCGGCTCCCCACGCGCCTTCCAATAAAACTCTACCTGTCCAGGTGCTTTTCTGTCTTTAATAAACCCCTCTGATCTGAGGGGTTCAAAAACTGGGCTAAAAAAAGCAGGAGCTGAGTTTGATAACTGCTGAGTTACTGAGTTAACACTGCTGAACAATCTGTCAGGGAAGGTGATGTCATATCGTGACATAAAAGCTTTTGCTAGAATTTTTTCTTAGCTTTGTTGGGAAGTTTGGAGACCAACACATGTCTGGGTGATCCCTGAGCCCTCCCTGAGCTCATCCCTTACTCACCACCTGCTCCTTGTTGGTAATTCCTACACAGGATCTAATAAATCCATAATATTTGTGTGCACAGGGGCCAGAAATTAATTTGGTTTCTGTAACAAGTCAAATAGTGATGCCTAAAATCAGAATGTGATTATTAAACCTGAATGTAGAGCTCCTAAGCAGGGCAGGGATAAAGCAGCCTGTCCTGGATGCATCCCTGGAGCCTGGGATGAGGAATGGTCGTGCCTGAGGGACAAACACACTTTGGAAAGACAAATAAATCGCTCGGGAACAGTGGTTTGGGTATTTCATTCCTTTTAATGGACTTTATCCCTTCTGGGGAGAGAGGAAACATCATTTATTGAGCTGTGAGGGGGTGTTGGGGTCAGGGTTTGCTGCCGTGGGCTTTGACCGAAAATGTTGGGAAACTTCCCTGGGGAATTGCTTCAGGAGAAGCTGAAATGCCTCAAAATGCCTCAGATTGCCCCATTTCTCCCACCTGGTTTGGATTATTTGACTCTTGTGGGAATCCACCCTGTGATTTCTCAAAATGATGCAGTTTTTAGAGGAAATGGCTGGGTCTGGAACCCGTTTGGCCAGAACCACACTCTGAAATTCCAGCTTAATTGAGAATTTCAAATCTTGAGGGGACAGAGCAGGGTGAGATCTTCCACAGAGCCCATGAGACCCCTCCAGGGCAGGGGGCTCCTGGGGCAGGGGGTTTCCTGTCCTTTTGTCCACTGGAATCCATCCTGATCCTCCACCCATCTCTCAGGGGCTTTAAAGGAGATCAGAGCTTTTCTCCTCCTGCCCAGCTCCTGCTCCCCTCAGTGTTTGAGGACGGTGGGGGTGATCATCCTGGGGTGGGAGTAGTAGCGGCACTCGGCGGGCGGCTGCAGCTCCATCACCCTCGTGCTGATGTTCTCCCTCCTGAAGCCCGCCTGCAGCAGCGGCCCCACCTGGGTCTCCTGCAGGAGAGGGCAGCGAGGAGCAGCCGTGGGTTGGGGTGTCTCGTGGGAGAAGTGGGGACACGCTGGAAGAAGAACCCCCCGAGCTCCCCTCTGGCGTTCCCCAGCAGCAGGGATGAGCTCCAGAGCCTCGGAGTGCTGTGGCCCAGCCCGGGCACAGCTGAGGGGAGGGGAGCAACTCACCTCGAACATCTTCTCGATGTCGCTGTACCTGGTCTTGAGCAGCTCCCCCCACGAGGTGAGGTTGCAGTAGGTGAGGACCCCTCCGGGCCGCAGCAGGCGGAAGGCGTGGCCCTGTCCCGGGAGTGCGGGGCCGGGTCAGCTCCTCCTGCTGAGCCCCAGCTCCCCCTGGAGCTCCAGCTCCTCCTGGAGCCCCAGCTCCTCCTGCTGAGCCCCAGCTCCTCCTGCTGAGCCCCCAGCCCCTCCTGCTGAGCCCCCAGCCCCAGCTCCTCCTGCTGAGCCCCAGCTCAGCCCCCAGCCCCAGCTCCTCCCCCTGGAGCCCCCAGCCCCAGCTCCCCCCCCAGCCCCAGCTCCCCCTCCAGCCCCAGCTCCTGCCCCAGAGCCCTCCCCGCGCTGTCACCTGGATGAAGTTGAACTGATGCGTGTGCCAGGTGGCCTCTGACAGCGGGTAGGTGTCGTACAGGATCCCTGCCCGGGAACACGGGGCTGGCTGTTAGCTGGGACAGACCCTGAGGGGCTCCTGTGTCCCAGGAAAATCTCCCTCCATGGCCTGGTATTGTTATGTTCCCACTGCAATTTGTCCCCATGTCTCTGAGCCCAGGAAGGCAGCGATGTGATGGCCCCCAGGGCAAGGATCTGCTCCCCAGGGCAAGGATCTGCTCCTCAGGACAAGGATCTGCTCCCCAGGACAAGGATCCATCCATTTCCCCAGACAAGGATCTGCTCCCCAGGACAAGGATCTGCTCCCCAGGACAAGGATCTGCTCCTCAGGACAAGGATCCATTTCCCAGGACAAGGATCTGCTCCCCAGGACAAGGATCTGCTCCCCAGGACAAGGATCCATCCATTTCCCAGGACAAGGATCTGCTCCCCAGGACAAGGATCTGCTCCCCAGGACAAGGATCTGCTCCCCAGGGACACAGCTGTGCCCTGTCCCCAGCCCCATGGGAGGATGTGGGCTCCACCTGCACCCTGGCCGAACTGCTCCCCCCTTTCCATGGCTCAGGGATGCCCTGGGCTTTGCTGCACCCCAGTTTGCAGTGGGGTCCCCACCCCAGCCCTGCCCACCGTGCTGTGGATGCCTCACCACTGAAGTGCCCGTCCGGCAGCGTTGGCACCACGTCCTCCCACAGCCCCTTCAGGGGCACCACCTGCGGGTGGGGGGCACAGGGGTGAGCTTGGGGGGCCACAGGCACCCCCCAGCCCTGGCACAGCCCGCCGTGCCCCTGACCTTGTGCGGCTGTGCCTTTGCCCACTGCTCCAGGCGCCGGAAAACGCCCTCGTTGCACTCGATGATCCAGTGCTCCTCGATGGCGAATTCCTGCACCTTGGAGGCGGCGATGGCCATCCCAAAGCCCACCTCGAGCACGCGGCCGCCTGCAGGTGGAACCCGGCACTCACAGCTCTGCTTTTCTCCGCCTCAAACCCCCGCCAAGCCCTGAATTCTGACCCATTCTTTCCCCAAATTGGGCTCTTTGGGTGAAGGTTGGGAGCACGTGGTGCTGCTGGCACTGAGGGGGGAAGCTGGGAGCAGCGCCGTGTCCCTGTCACCTGCTGCCCCCCCAGCTGCCCCTCTGTCCCTGTCACCTGCTGTCCCCCCCCAGTGCCCCTTTGCCCCCAACAAACCCCCCCAGTGATCCCAGTGGGAACAAACAACATCCAACCCTCCCTGTGCCAAGGGAAACAGCCCCAAAAGCAGCAGATCCTGGGAGGGGAAAATCCCCAAAACCAGCAGGGCCTGGATGGGAGGTGGCTGCACCCCCTCCCCATGTCCCCGTCCCCTTTCAAGATTGCGTCACCCTGCCACAAGGACACGAATGCCACCATGGCGCTGCTGCCCCTGTCACCACGTGTGCCACGCAGGGGGGTCCCCCAGCACATCTCCCCCCACACCAGCAGCTTCTGGGGAAGCTGCCCCCCACAGCAGCCCCCCGTTACCCTTGGAGGCAGCCACGGTGGCCAGCGAGTGCATGTAGGGCGTCTCCCAGCGCTCCATCACCGGCTTGCCCAGGATCTCCAGGTGGGCGTCGGGCTGGTCGTAGCCCGCCGGGGCCGCCCCCCAGGCCGCCCTGCAGTCCTCGCCCTCGCCGAAGATCGGCCCCGAGCTCATGGCTGCGGGAGGAGAGTGCAGCTGCACGGGCCGGGAGCAGGGACAGGCACAGAAAGGGCCACGGGCCGCTTGGCCGGCTTTAAATAGCCCTGCTGGAAAGTGCTGAGTGTGCACAGCCGGCTGGGGCCCCGCGGGGACGGGAGCCCTTATCGGGATCGGGAGCTCTTATCAGCAATGGGAGCCTTTATTGGGAATGGGAGCCTTTATTGGGAACAGAAGCCCTTACTGGGAATGGGAGCCCTCATGGGGAATGGGAGCTCTAATTAGGAATGGGAGCTCTAATTAGGAATGGGAACCCTTATGGTGAATGGGAGCCTTTATCGGGACTGGGAGCCCTTACTGGGAATGGGAGCCTTTATTGGGAATGGGAGCCCCTATCAGGAATGGGATCCTTTATTGGGAATGGGAGCTCTTATTTGGAAGGCAAGCCCTTACTGGTAATGGGAGCCCCTACTGGGAATGGGAGCCTCTACTGGGAAAGGGAGCCCTTACTGGGGACGGGAGCCCTTACAGGGACTGGGAGCTCTTATTGGGAATGGGAGTCCTTACTGGGAATGGGAGCTCTAATTAGGAATGGGAACCCTTATTGGGAATGGGAGCCCTTATCGGGGATGGGCAATGGGACCCCCAGGACGGGCGATGGGACCCCCGGGACGGGCGATGGGACCCTGGGACGGGCAATGGGACCCCCGGGGTGGGCAATGGGACCCCAGGACGGGCGATGGGACCCCCGGGGTGGGCAGTGAGACCCCCGGGACGGGCAATGGGACCCTGGGACAGGCGATGGGACCCCCGGGGTGGGCAGTGAGACCCTGGGACGGGCGATGGGACCCCCGGGGAGGGCAGTGGCACCCCCTGGAGGCCCCGCCCCCCGCGCGCGCGGACTGCCCTTCCCGCCGGCCCCCGCGCGCGCGCGGCCGGGCCGGGGGCGGCGGGGGGGGAACCGGGACACGGGAACCGGGACACGGCCGGGAGCGCCCGCCCGCGGCCCCACGACCCGCCGCCGGCACCGCCGCCACCCGGAGGGAAGAGCCGGGCGCGGCCCCGCAGGAGTCGCCGCCATGAACAGCGTGGGAGGCGCCGATGAGATCGGGTGAGGGGAAGGGGAGGGCAGCGCGCCGGGACGGTGGTGCGCGGCTCGGTCACCTTTTCCCGCAACCTCACGAGGGGGTCCCGCCGCGGCTCCGCCGGGCCGGGAGGGGCTGAGCGCGGGCCGGTGCCGGGCCGGGGGGCTTTAAGAGGGAGCCGGTCCCGGGCAGGAGGTGCTGAGGGGGGGCCGGTCCCGCCATGTTGGGGCCGTGAGGGCGCGCACCCCCCCCCC